GCCAAATAACTTAAGAATCGTTTGACCCACAACCTTCATATTTGGCACGATGGTTAATCATGATTAGTACATGACCCCTATTGATTTTGAGGTCACCAGGTCAAATGTCAAGGTCACAGGGGCCTTGACTTCAAAAAGCTTGTCCGCCCAATAACTTAAGAATTCTTTGACCCAAAGTCTTCATATTTGGCATGGAGGTTAGTCACAATTAGTAGATGACCCCTATTGACTTTGAGGTCATCAGGTCAAAGGTCAAGGTCAAAGGGGCTTTGACTTCAAAAAGCTTGTCCGCCCAATAACTTAAGAATCCTTTGACCCGCAGTCTACATATTTGGCATGGAGGTTTATCATGACCATTAGGTGACCCCTATTGATTTTGAAGTTACTGGGTCAAAGGTCAAGGTCACAGGGGCCTTGACTAAAAATATTGTCAGCTCAATTGCTTAAAAATACTATGGTCAACAGTCTTCATATTATGTATTGAGGTTGTTTATGACTAGTAGATGACTCCTTTTTATTTTTAGATGACTGTGTCAAAGGTCAAGGTCACATGTATTTTACTATAATAAGCTTGTCTGCTCAAATGCTTAAGAATGCCTGTCCGCAGTGTATTGATTTTGACATTTTCATATTTGAAGCATGTAGAATACATAACTTAGCAATGCACTGGCGTAGTAACCTCATATTTTGCAGGTAGCTTGTCCTTGGGCTCTAAATGCTGACAAAGTGGTGGGTGGGGGTATTCACGCCATGACAGTGGCAGTTCTAGTAATCACAATTTTGTTAGCGCCATAAGCGATTTTTCAAAACAATTTGCTATATTTTGTGATTTTAGACTGACATAAAATTTCAAATAACTTGTTTTAAGACGTGCGTTAGTGTATAATTAGTTTTATGGTTCGCGCAAGGATATCGGGTCTTAAACATAAAGAAGTGTGTTACATGTGATTGTCTAAGTCATGAAAACAATAACAACGATGGAACAAATAATCCTAACAAATAACCGGTCTGGTTAAAAAATGCATAAGGCATACGCCTGTTAATAAAGTATATGACGAAAAACGTACTAAACATTACATCAAGTCAGTCAACACAACACAAAAATAACAACGGTATGCGTTTAAACACGACCCGCGCAACACGTGTACGCATATGAGACAAGTCACCAGTAAAATAGGTCAGCTCCGTTTACCTTTGCAGTATTTTGAATAATACCGAAAGTGCTTATGAAGAAGTCAATGTCCAAATTGTTTTATATAGTGACGTAACGGAGTAAAGTAAGTCTATGAGACGTTTATCAATATGTTGTTAATTAGTACCTCACTTAAACCTGTTGAGCTCGTTTTATGGTAGTATCGTTTCTAATATTTATTTGTGACTTTTGTCTTTAAAAAGTACCGTGTTAAAAATCTAACAATCATTGTCATTTGTCGGCTTTATATTTATTGTTATATTTTTCTGGTCCTTCGGGATCATTGATGCCAGCACTATTAAGTGTTGACAATTGAGTACCGCTAAAGCCGGTGCTGGGGGCGTGAGAGATGTTGCACGTATTCAAAACCCCTCATGTACAGACTCAATCAAACCGAGTCTGCAATTCTCTTGTAATTTTGTTGTGATTAATGCTTCCGAGGGATCACTTTTTTCCAGATTTTTATAACAAAATTTCATACTCGTTTGAATTAAGTGTATATGATTATAAAGTTTTGTCAATTATCCTTCAGCATTTTGTTTAAATTCATCAAAGGAAAGACACTTCACATTGAAAATCTGGATATAAATATTACTACTTATTAAGTCCTCTTCACTCGTCTAGTGTATATTTGAAATCTGTTTATTTCTAGGCTCTTAACTGTACGTCACTCTATAAAAGTCCGACCGGATTAAGCTTATCATTTTTCACTGTTAGTTCAACAGGTGGTCAATTATAGTCCTCCCAGTTTTACTCAGTCATTTTGGGCTTAAATCCATAGCATATCTGGTGTTCCCACTTTCTCAATGATAGTAATTTGTTTTTGTGTGTTCATCTCCAGAGCTCTAGGTTAATAGCTATCTGAAACAATGGTAGATTAACACCTTACATTTGTGGCAGTGTGTTCTTTTGCGCTTTTCCATCCCGTCCAATACAGCAGTTCAGCCTTACAATGTTAGAACTAGTATAAGATGTCAAGTTAAGAGCTGAGCTAAAGGTGTTATTCAAGATATGTTGACGCTTGAAGTAAATAATTTAGATATAAACTTATTCATAAGCATCCAGTATTGTTCAAAGTACTGCACAGGTAAACAAAGCTGACCTATTTTACTGGTGACATGTCTCTTATGCGCATGCGTGTTGCGTGGGTCGTGTTGAAACGCATACCTATTGTTATTTTTGTGTTGTGTTGACTGAACCTCTACGTTCCTTGGTGTAATGGTTAGTACGTATTTTGTCTGAGTTTTGAATAGCAGACTGATGTCTTATGCAATTCCTCTAGAGATCGGTTATTTGTTCCCAGTTATTATTGTTTATATGATTTAGACAGTGGAAAAAAAACCAATCTATGAATTTGACCTGATGTTAGTTTAGATATCCAAATTCGAATTATTCGCCAAACCATCAAACTAACTTTACACTAACTCGTGTCTAAAACAACGTACACGCAATTTCACGTTTTTTTCTCTAAAATATAAAAAGTAGCAAAATGCTTTGAAAAATTGCCTACGGTACCAACAAAATACTGATTGAAAGTCTTTCATTATCCCCATTGGATATGAAATTTATGAATAGCGAGCATGCGGGTGTACGTTAATACTAATATGTGAACTTTAAATTTTTATCGTTTCTTTTTGAAGACAAAAGATATACTGAAACTGGAATATTCTTACATTAAAACTCTTTTCATACATTTGAACTTGTATTTACTAAAGAGTGCACAAAATGTGAACATAACAATCAAAGATACAAATTTTAAATTCATACTTAATGATTTAATAGATATATCTGTATAGTTACAACATTAACATTAAAATAAATTGAAGCCTAAAAAAGGTCAGTATTACAATACGAAATAAGCTATTTTAAACATAAGAAAAGGAAACAATATGCCAAATTACAATAAGACAAATAATGCCGAAAAAATCAAATGATATAGTGTCTTATCCGTGCAGAGCTATTGTGAGTGAACATTTAAAATGTATTCGGTTCATGATCCAACTACCATGATGGCGAGCAGCGACCAAGTATTTACGTTTTTAATACCTTTGTCCGTAGTACGGCTTTTAGACATCATCGATAATTTTTGCTGTCGCCCTTTCTAAGAAAATGACACATGTTAATGTAAACAAATATCCGTCATTCAGTTTAACCCTCCATTTAACTTAGAAAACATGACAACACACAATAAATATGAGAAAATGTTGTTTTATTGTTGTTTATATCGAAAAAATTAATACAATTTATATTCTTTGAAAGAATAACATTTAGAATTAGTGCCAGTTTTTATGAACTTCGATAATGGTTTCTGAGACTAAAATGTCCAGTTCTAAATGCAACCAATCCTTTTTTCTACAGTCAATCTGAAATCAAATTTTGGATTTTTTTAGGGTCATGCTTTGTCTTGGGAAGAGTTATTGCATTCTTTTCTTGTGTTCATATATATTCAATGTTAAGCTTTGCTGATTGCGATTAATTATGTCATTTGAACTTAATTTTTGTGTGCAAGTGACTAAAGTTCATTCAACATCAGTAGCTAGCTTGAAAGTCACTGAGAGTTGATCACGTGATTTTGCACGTTCGCTCATTCACTCGCCCATTATGGAAAGAGATCTAGTTGACCCGTAATCGTCGTGGAATAGCGAAAGTATATCGATTCAACATTAAGCAATACATAAACAATATTAGATGCAAACATATTTTATAAAACGACAGTAGGTTAAACAAATTATGACACAAGCTATATGCAAACAGTTTCAAAATGATTTAGTAGTTAAAAGTAGGGCGCATAATACAGAAGCAAAAAGTGTTCAATATAGGGTAAATGAAAAGTATTTCGACCTCATGAAGCTGTAAAAATATGACAAAAAATGATGCCAAAAATATGACACATAATAAATGCAAATTGAATATTACTTTTTATAAGTAACAAAAACATTTTTGTTATAAATAAGTAAATAATATATTTATGCCCGAATGTATATCATTATAGAAATTTCAAGTAGATAATCTGCAATATCATACAATCAGCAAAATGGTAATATCCTAAAAATAAGGCCAGAGGCAAAGTTTTAAAAATTCACATCACACACACACACGAACACACGCACACACGCACACACACACGCACACGCACACGCACACACACACACACACACAAGCGCAAAAAAAGACAATAAAACAGTTTTAAACAAAAACTCTTAAAATATACATGTTTATATATACACTGAATATAATGATTGTAGTTTTGCTAGACAATCTTGTTATATCAGAATACATCGATTACATCGGAAATTACGTGACTTTAAATTGAGCGAATAGTTACCCTGGTTTACAGAACAGAACAGAACAGAACAGAAATTTTATTAAAGACTTAAGCATACAGCTCATCGTCATAACATACAATAATACACACAAATCATATAAATTATAAATAAACTTTACAACAAATATTTGTCTAAATTCAACAGTTGAGAGTGATCTGAGTAAGCATGTTATTAAAGTACATATATCTTTCATAAGAATATTATAACGTTGTTCTAATAATAACAAAAAAGATTTATAAGTTATTTAATTGGTCAGTTCTCTGCCTAAAGCATTTAATACAATAAATTGCAAGATTATGTAGAGTCTTTTTACATTTTGAATTTAGCAGTTCTATAAATTTAAACATACTTGGACGTGTATAGTAGAATCTAGGAATATATTTTCCCCTGTTTTCATGATAAAAAGGGCAAACTAAAACAAAGTGGAATTCGTCCTCGATATCATTTGAATTGCAAATTAAACAATAACGTAATAATTACATATCGATTCTTAATTGATACATTTAATTGCTCCTTTTTAAATCGCTTAATCATTGATACTTTTTAGCATATGATAATCGCGTCTTACTGATTCTTCATTCATGGCAAACGCTTCATTATAATTATATACTTTTATTGCATACAAAGGCTTGGTTTCTCTGGAAACGTTACTGACACGCTTTGCTCCTCGTCATATAAACGTTTCACTGATCTTCATAAGACGTTCAACACACGAACAATTTTAATTTTAACATTGGTGTCCTTCTCTCTAAAGTTATGACTAGTGTTTGAGGCCAACAACATTATTTTTAAACCGTCCAAAAAGCGAATCTTCATAATCATAAGGATTGTGGCGATATATCTGTCTCTGTTGTTTGTCATTTGGTAGCCATGTTTTGTCTGGTCGAAGCAGATTGCTTAACCTCTATAATATTAGAAAAATAAACGTTTAAAGATCCTGTAAGTTATAATTTAGGATGTAACAACAACAACACTTAAGTGAAATTGTATACATGTATATATATTCTGAAACAATTTCCTAACATCCAAGAATATGTTAAATATGTACTCATATTAAATATTACACGTATTATAAGTAATTATTAAAATATATGCATTCATTTCTTATTGAAAAATTTGGCTTTGACTTTATCAAAATTAAATTTCTAATTACCTCCCCTTATCTACATGAAAACTAAATTCGGTAATTATTATATCTTTACAAATAATGCTTATTGTACTTTCAATACTGATAACTCGCAATTTAAGCATCTTATATAAAACTTTAAAACAATTTGAGTTACAGGATCTTTAGGTACATATAAAACACGTGACATACAATTAAACATTTTACCAATTACCGTTCTTGTCTTACATGTATCAGTATGTTACTAATTAACAGTGTTTTTTTCCATAGAAATAGCTAAAATAAACAGATACGTTTGATTCTTAAAAATTGTTTGTGTTAGCTAAAATACATCTTTTGTGTAAAAAAGAAATTAAATATGTTAACGAGTTTGAATACTTGATATTTGATACTTTCTCACTCTTGAAAGGTAATGTTGATATAGCTAAACTTGCAATTTCAACAAATTGATATTGGTATTTCCATCCGAGTTATTTAAAAAAACAAACACATTGTGTTGAAATGTTGAACTTAAACAAATATAATGTATGCTTTACTCGTGTATAATGTATAATTTTGTTCTAAAAATTGGGCCTTTTGTTTGACCTTGAATAGCCTTTTTCATATAATGATTTTAAAAGAGGCACTTGGGGGACATTTTGCCAACAACTCAAGTAGTTTTGTGGTCATTTTGCCTTTAATGATTGGGGAGCTTTAATCAACCCATCAAGTTACATTTAATGATTTTGCTTTTATTGACTGAGGGGCATTTAACCGCCCATCAAGTGGCATTTGGTCTTTTTTTTTTGCTTTTATTGACGCAGGAGATTTTAACCGCCCATCGAGTGGTATTTGGTTATTTTGCTTTAATTAACGCAGGAGATTTTAACCGCTAATCGAGTGGCATTGGGCCATTTTGGTTTTATTTACTGAGGAGCTTTTAACTACCCATCGAGTGTTTTGCCTGTTTTGAATAAGGGGCTTTTGAGATAAACTTAGCAAATTACCTGGCAAAGTGTTCCCTTTTCCTTTACCAGCTGGACAACAGCAACAACGGCAATTAAACTGCAAGGTCCAAACGCAAGGATATTTCCTATAACTAGGGCATACTCTGGATAATCATAGCCAATCGACGAGTCTGTATATGTGGATATTGTAGTAATTAAAATACCCTGCAAATAATACAAATAAACAATTTGAAAGCTCTTTCATGTGAGAGATAACAGAGCAAAGGAGACAAAGTGAAAAGCAATATTTGTAAGAAAAATTGTAATAGGGTAGAATCAATTTTTTATGTATCTTGTATAATCATTTTAACAACCACAATACCATCATACAAACAATAGATTTTGATGGGAGCCTTATGTGCTTATTAAAGTTAATCTATTATGATCTACAAACTAATTTAATAAACACTTGCATTTTTAAGGAAATAGAAAATAACAGTCTAGTAAAACACTTGTTTTTCAATGTAATGGAACTGAAGTTAACTAAAGAAGTCTTTGACAAATTTAAAATCTTTAAACATGTATTGTTTTGTGCTATAAATCTTTTTGAGTATGTATGACATAGTGCATTATTGTTATGTAACATTAACCATATAGAATAGAGAAAAAATAATCCATAAAGAAAGCCCACCACGGCAAAATTGAAAATGTTGCAGACTCGGTTTGATTGAGCCTATTCACGGTACTGTGAAGTGCAAACTACCGTCCACATCCCCTAGCACCAGCTTAAGCAGAATTCAACATTTAAACATTAAACAGCCGCAGATATGTTCATACGGCGATTATCATGGAACCTTTAATGTGACACCTCCGTGGCATTCCATGAAAAACGGCGTATTGTCCCCAAGTAAAAAAAAGCGTGTGCTTTAAACGAGAAAACAATGGGCATAACGAAATAAAATGGAATTTTGAAAAAGTATAAGAGGCAATGAAGCCTGCATATTCTAAGGGTGATTCAACATTATTCAAGTAGGAATATTGGAACCACCCAAAAGTTTAGGCTTGAAATACCACAAGCACAACAATAATGTCGTGCTGAATCATCTTTAAGTTTAAGGAACTTTTACAGTCATCAAATATTCGGCAAACGCATTCGTGAAAAGCTCTTAAAATTTCAACATTGTTTTAACTTTCCCTAAAAAAGTAATCGTCGATATTGATATAGACCGGAGAAAATAGAACCGTTTTCCAAACAAATATGAGATACGGAAAATTACGGGAGTTGCCAAGTTTGAACGTAAGTATTAGCGGAAAACTAGAAGAATTAAATGTTACCCCTATAAAGATTGGAATGCAGAAGCACCAAATGAAGCGGAGTATCTGAGATGGTCGTGACCCAGTCATCATCTCTATATCATCGGAGAACCGACCCGCACCTGACATAATACATAGTATGATAGATAAAATCTGACATAACAATGAACTAAAAATTGCCACAGTATAAAATTGCAGTGTACAATAATGTACTTGTATAGTTTACTTTAACATGAGGTCTAGTTTTGTCCATCCAAATAATGCATAAATTAGTCTGCCTTAATGTATAGTTATAGTATTTCACATTTAAAAGATACAATTTGACATACTATATACTAAATGTCTTGCTAATTGTATTGTTTTAATCTGAAATTAACTATAGCTTAAGCGTGGCATACTGTATATTTTTTAATCTGACATAATTTATGTTTCAAATCTCGCTCACTGTATGGTAAGAAACTAATGTAACGAGAATGTAAAAGTCTATGGTTCCAATCTGACATGATGCATAGTTTAAATTTGGCATATTACAAGAATATGGTTACAATCCGACAATTTTGTAGTCAGTTTTTCATACTGAATTGTTTTAATATGACAAAATGGAAAATCAAAATTTATTAAATTGTATAATTATTACACGCTGTCATAATAATAAATAACGTCTTGGAAAATGTATGGTTATAACCTTGAATAAAGTGTACTAAAGTCATACACAAGGATAACTTACCATAGATCCAGGCAACAATGACGCATTCTAGTAGGGCTGTGAATACTATACCAAACAAAGCCACATACCAATCTATCAGCATAAATATATAGTAACCACCCTAAAGACAATGAAAAAAGATAAGTCAAAATACAATCGGGAGTCAAGATCAGTTCATTCTCTTTGTTATATGTCATTTCACAAGCTAACAGATGACGTAATGTTTAGACCGAAAGTAAATGGCGACAAAGAAAACTTCAAACTTACCGAAGTAGTGAGTGGCAGACCAAGCACAAAGAGGCAAGATGTCAGACTTGCCGAGATCCATATCCGGTATCTACTGAACTTTTTGAAATTCAGATCTATTAAAGCATTTGCACCTGTCTCAAATGTACCAAACTGAAATGATATATGATTTAAAAATCATTCGATATAAAATTGCATTTTGATTTAGTAAGACCGGTGTATTGTTGTTACTAGTCTGAAATATTTCTTTCGCCGAACAAGTCTTTTTTAAGAGGAAAAAGGGCATTTTTTTACAAAAAGGACACTTTCGTCATTTTTCGTAACTATGAGTTTTAAGTAAAGGTTTGACCTGACATGATGAACTGGGCGTTCCTCATCATATACACGAGTAATTTAACTTCTCATCACACGGTAAGTGCCAAACTATGCCGATTTCCCACGAACTTGTTATTCAGTTTAAACCCAAAGAAATGTGAAATATGGCTCGTTCTAAGATAGTTCTATGAAACATTTACAATGTGTGTTTTACAAGCAAATTGATAACATATGATAATCTGATGGTAATAACAGAAGTAATTGAACAGTCTGATGCACCGCCATTGAAAACGTTGGTGGATTACTCCCGTAAGAAATATTGTTTAAAAAAGACAACCTGCGAGTCAATTCCAACCATGACAAGTGTCGTAAAGAACAGCACGGACCAAAGGTTCGGCGCGGGCAGACGGCTCAAAGCTTCTGGATATGCTATAAAAGCTAAACCCGGTCCTACAAATAAACAACATAGACAGCGTGCAAAAGCCACATGGTAATTTTATGGACACTGCTGTTTGGGCCGTGTATAAAGTTCATAAAGGAATTAAACAATCAAATTCAACATACGAGATTTAAGGGTAATAAGCCTTTAATTTTTATAATGACCAAGCATAGATTTGTGAGAGAGAAAACATTAAGAATGAATGAGACATGAAAAATGCAAGTACACGATAAAAAGCCTAACACAAATTGTAACATTAAAGTCAACGCAAGTGTAAGTAGAATAGTTCTGCTATATTCTTTAATAAACGAAATTAAAATACGAAGCTAATAAAAACAGTTTCTGAATGCGATGCTTTTGACAAGTAATACTGCAAATTATAAATGTTCGTACCTGCGAATGGTAATTTATCTAAAGATGTCCCTGTTTCCTTCGACAGAAATCCCAGCACAGAAAACACAACAAAGCCACCAAATATGGCAGTAAACGCATCAGCAAAGCACACAATCACGGTATCTCTATTCTCAAAAAAAACATCAAGGTATTTACTTGTCCATTGACACTCATAACTGGGCCGCGTCACGACAAATCCAACATAGTGCATCCGCGCAATCTGATCAGGATCCATGCTGTTAGCTATCAGTTTCTCTACTTGTAATAGAGTTGTTAAGCGAACAGCATGGATCCTGATCAGACTGCGCAGAAGCGCAGGCTGGTCTGGATCCATGCTGGTCGCAAACGCATTATGTTGGTTTTGTCGTTACGCGTCTCAATTTTATAAAGACATTTTGTGTTACTCTGTCTAAAAGTATGTTTCCTTTAAATTCTGTTGTAAATCACGAAAGGTCGTTATTTCTAATAATGTGCGAATTGGAATGGGTACATGGGGTCTATCCCCAATAACTAAAAGAAAAAAATAAAAAGAAATAAGAATAACAACAACAACAAAACCTCCGCAATAGAAACCTTCAATGTATATATGACTAAAATCAAGAAAACAAACAAACAGAAATATAAAAGAAATCAGGAGGCACAATTAAAAACCGGAAACAAATCTTTTGAGCGACTAAATTAAAAACTGTAAGATTAAAAAATAAACACTGATTAACAACCAACCTTAATGCATTATGATTGAACTTGTTAAAACTAGCCATTGTAATTACACCACCCCATGCTGGACCAAGTGAGTAAAAACACTGCACTGCGGATTCTATCCACATCTAGAAAGAAATTAGAATAAGTAAAATACAAGGGCAGCATGTATATTTTAGTTTCCAGAACTGGAAAAAGTATTATAATGATCTTCTTTAGTAGATGATAAGTAGATTGGAAACGTACAAAATCACTCTTTTGAGTATTATTGACAAGACAATTTAATATATAGATTAGAACATTTAAAAATGGTATTTGAAGACCGTACAACTAAATTTTTTTATTCATTTTGCTGTTTTGAGTAATATAAGTAAAACAAACAGCAATTTTCCTTGTTGATAATATGCTCAATAAGCATTTGTTTCAAAATTTAAAACGAGAATAATAAGCGATCTTTAGATCGAGATTTATATCGTTTTTATTTACGAACAAGATACATGATTTTAAGATTTTATATTTTAAAAGCGTATTGAATTCTTTTATGAATTTACCTTTCCATTTGCAAGTTTGCTGAAATCAGGGATGACGTAATGCCTTAGACCGATCCAAGCGCCGTCTAGCGTTACTCCACGAATCAGTAATATAAGTAACAAAACATACGGTAACGTAGCTGTCACGTAAACAACCTTGATCAATTCAAGAAATAATAAAAAAGATCGTTTTATATGAAATGTCATCTTATATCAAATTAAATTATCATGTTATCGAAACGTATCATTTATGCACCATGTCTAATACAAATGCAAACACAATTTTCTTGATATTCTATAATTTCATACAAGCCTTGTATTAAAAACATTAATATTCCTTCAATAAATTATCTCCTTGTAGCGTCACGATTGCCTCAACAAGAATTTAAGAACAAGTTGAAAATGTTAAAGCTGTGATTTGAGATTAATGCTAAGAAGGTTATCTTAGAAAAAAACACTCTTTTACATTCATTATTTGATGTTATTTTCTAGATTTTTTTTTATCAAATCGGAAAGATTAATTGCTTTTTTACAGCTAGATATATTGTACATTATACACAACTAAAGGCACATAAACTAAATTTATGTTATTGACGCGATATATCAAGAAAGTGGCGTCACCGAAATTTCAAGATATGTGACACAATATACTTTACCTTTCCTAAAGATTTAACACCTTTTGCTAGGCAAAAGAAAACCAAAAGCCAACCAAGAAACAAACATCCGACTAGGTGAAGTTGCAATGATCCAATGTCTTCAATTCCTGACGACATATTAAGAACTTTTCGTCTGAAGACAAGTGATTAAAGGAATAATTTGCACTGTAACACATACTTGTGCAGCATCTTGAGATGATATTTGAAAGTACAATATAAATATGTCGTATTTTAAAGTAGTAAATTACTTTTACATATAAAGCGACATGATGTTCTTCACAATGTAAATGGAGAAGGAACAGGTATAAATCAAAATAACTTTACATTTGGCCAGGATTGTATTCAGTACTTTATTGTATTTCACATACTGAATAATTTAATTGATCCATATCGCTCGGAATGACTTAATTGTTTCTTTACATCAGTTATGTCCAAACAAAGTGGGACAATCTTTTTATATCTTAGGCAGTTTTAATATTAAATCCTAATCATTTGTAACTATAATTATTGGCCAATTACCATTATAATGGCCAACGTTTTTGAATATATACATGTAGTTTATTTAGCTCCACTTGACAACAAAAAAATTTGTTTAAAACTTTCCAATACTATTTGGTCATATTGCGACTCAGGTTTGAATTTTAAACAATGTGCGCTACTTACCATTATTAATTTATTCAAACGCAAGCAAAGGTCGGGTAGATTCGATGAAGCCGCCAATTTTTCTTTTAAAAAGGGGAGGGCGCTAATTAAATAAATATCCTGTGCTTGAATTTAAGCGATATGATAAAGATAATAAAAACTTACTCCCAGAATTCTGTTCCGGACGACATAAGCAGCGTTCCTGAACTTACATTCAATAATTTCATCGTCATATTAGTTGTTGAATCTGTAATCCAATTAAAACACATGTAATTCTGCGAAATGTCGTCATTTAATAATCAAACATCTAAAGCTGAGAGGCAAAAACATAAGTAACCACAGAATAATGAAGATGATTCGAAGTATGAAATGTCATGCACAAATAGTAAAGAAAAAAAAAAACAATTATATCGTAAACGAATGTTGAAAGATTTTTTCAGTGTAACATAGTTACCTATACAGTTCTCTGTGTTCCAGCTATTGTTGCACGTGCTCCAGGGTAAAGTCGGGTAGAATGACATGATGAGGAAATAGAATACCCAACCAAATGCTGTACCAAAATACCAAACATAAAACAAAGATGTGGTCACCATTAACAGTCCAATACCTTCAACAAAAATAAAAGAAAATTGTTTAACCCTTTTACCCATGCGATCATTGCAGAACAAGTTTAGCCGACACGTCCATGCCATCTTGCCATGGTCTTCACTGTTTCCTTTTCCGTCAGTGCATGTTGCAATGATTTCCATAATATGATGAACAAGTTTTTCCCAATCGAGATGAAAAAGGCCATGGAAGATATAAAACGTTTTAAGGTTTATTTATTTTTAATTTTTCCCCCCTTAAACCTGTGGCCTTAAACTAGCCATATGTCTCCTTCCCCTGCACCTTGACCTTTTGTTGGCAGTTTTCTTTACAATTAAATGTTTCCGTTAATATCCTTGTCATTTTCTATGGTTTCTTATTCTAAAGAATTTATTATAACGCCCCTCCGTGCTTTGCTTTGTCCCTCTCCTGTTTTGTTTGGCGTCATCCTTGGATTCTTGCTGGGTCGTGTTTGGGGATGGGTTCATTGAATGATACCCTTCCTTATTGATCTGTGTTTTCATATTTGTCAATAAACACATTTGAGCCGCGTCACGACAAAACCAACGTAATGCGTTTGCGACCAGCATGGATCCAGACCAGCCTGCGCATCCGCGCAGTCTGATCAGGATCCATGCTGTTCGCTTACAAACACTATTACAAGTAGAGAAACTGATAGCGAACAGCATGGATCCTGATCAGACTGCGCGGATGCGCAGGCTGGTCTGGATCCATGCTGGTCGCAAACGCATTACGTTGGTTTTGTCGTGACGCGGCTCATTTCAATTTACAACTACCGCGCAACGTTAACATCCTTGTGTTGAATGAGTTTTGCGTCAAACCGACACAGTTCATACTGTAGCTTGCTTTAACAGATAGGGGGAACAAACGCTCTAGTGAATGTCATATGCAAACTCCTGAGCAGATACTTGAGTACAGCCAAAGATCATCTAAGGGCTATTTAAAAAGGTTTGTAAGATGATATTTAATTTTAATGGCAGCATACAGTGTAAATAATCTTGAAATATCAACCAAAAAGTAAATTACTGACAATTGCGTATTTCGATAATTTTGATTACCAAACAAAACGAGTTCAACCACAACACGTATTTTTTCTTTAGCATTCATTCACGCATTTAACCGCTTATTACTGTAGCTTCTTCAAAAGAAACTACAACTGACGTGATGTCAAATAAATAACGTTAAGCCACATGTCGGCAAAATAAAACGTAACGTTAATAATGTACATAGTAAAATGTATAAACATGTCATGATTACGAATATTTATTACAAAAGTTCCCAATAGTAAATAGATAAAAACACGTAAAATGAAACAACGTAACGTGTTGAATAATAATGATACAAATATTTATTTTTTTACATTTTATTCTATTTGTTATATATTTATTCTTTTTTATGTTTTTTCGATGAATTTGATTGTAATTTATTATTTTAGTTATATCATTTACATTATTTTACTCAATCTCAAATAAATAATAAATGCATGCATCCAAGCAAAGAAAGCAGAGATCATGACGACTAAATGAGAATACTTTAAATAATTTGTGAATTTGGTAAACATATAAGTCATGTATACAAGCCAACCAGATGAACTTTCGTTTCGAATTTAAATGTTAATATTAATTTTGGCATCGAACTTTGTGCAATAGTGTAAGCACATCAATTTATTCCACACAAATCTGTGCGAACTTTAGGTATGCATAATTAAATGTTATGTTAACATACCTTTAAATAACGGGCATATATTCCAAACTGTTATGGGCGACTTTCCGGAGAACTGACCCAAGCATACTTCTATATAATATAGTGGCCCACCACATATTATCAGGAACAATAAAAACGGTATAATAGCGATTCCTGTAAATATATATTTAACAAGAAAATCTTCACTTTTGAAGTTACACAACTGATTAGAGCACATAAAGGCAGATTATGCCCCAGAAATCCACCATATCTGAATTCCTAAATAAAAATAAGAATCAGAGTGAAACATACTTTATCATTTATAAAACTTCTCGATCGTCTTTTTGAGCATTCATATCATAAACATGCGAGTATCAAAATAATATAGCAATCTTTGGTTACACCCATCATGCACATTTTTCATAAATTTGTGAAAAATATCTTGAAGACAAAAACAAATAATTAAGAGATAGATAAAAAATAATAGATAGATAAAAAATGAAAAGACATACATTCATTTAAAATATAAATGAAACATAAATAAAATAAAATCATAAATAAATAAGAAAAATGTGAAAACGAACCTCCGCCATTCCTGAAGCAAAAGTACGGAAACCTCCATATGTTTCCTAGCCCAACGGTATATCCTACCAAGGATAGAACAAACTCAAATCGTCCACCCCATGATTCCCTTTCATTCCAGTCCACATCATCCTTTTCATCTAGTTCGTCTAGATCTGTAGCAGTACTACTTTCATCATTGACAAAATTATTTTCGGCTTTAATATCCAGTTTTAACAGCTCCTCTTTTTTCCCGTCATCCATGACTGTTTGTTTTTCTTTTCCTTTTTTATATGTTTCGTTTTGTCCGCAAATAATGAAACTTCCAATGCATTTTTTCTAGTTAACCTGTGATAAAAAATGAAAATTGTTCAGTAAATACGAGGTATGTCTATAAGATCTTACACGAGATGTAGTCGACGAGTGAAAAGAAAGCTGTGGTGGCGATCCTTGTAATATTTTTGGGCGCGATCAGTGGTACCCTACATGATATGAGAAACTGATATGATATTTTTAATGACATATGCTATCATATGGCAGGCAAAATCACTGTTCAAAAGGTCATTCGAACATTAAATGTATGTTATATTGTATAGAAAGAAATAGATAAACGTCTTATCAAATAAAAAAGAAAGATTGTAACACGATCAAATCCATCCCGCATTAGTTTGCCCGCCAGATACATTGTTACGGTATTTAGGCACAAGCCTTATATTAAAAAAAGTATGTCAGAGCAATAACGTATACGACTTTTGTCGCTTTAAATTTATGCATCATTTAAGTTACAATACAGTTTACCAATGATATCATATCCGAAACAGCTTGTCCACTTATAGGGTCATAAAATATTTTATAAAAGAAGTGTTTGCCTTTTATTTAGGTTAATGTATATGGGTATCATATTTCTAATTCAGTTCACATGTCCGTATGCGATTGCAAACATTATTATCAAAAGGCTTTGCTTAATACATACAGGCATAATGAAAACTGTTGCATGGGTTATGTTTAAACTTAATTGAACAAAAGTCTTGATATTTTCGTAATTCACAATACAGGTAAGTAAGGTCTTTTCAGCTTTTCTCAGGCTGACATTATTTCGAAAAATTGTGCAAGCAAAACAAATTAAAGCATGGGTAAAGCGTAGTTTGTTTAAAGTTTTGAGTTAACCGTAAACCTGTGTAAATATTTTTTTAAAACTGGCTGATTTTTAAGAAATAATTTCAATGGAAGAAACGTTACAAAAGGAGGTTTCTTGGAAAGGTAAAGGTATGAAATAACCATTTAGAGCATTATTAGTTTTGTCACACGCTTACTTATAAAACTAGTAATTACAGAAATTTAAACCTATGACAACCAACCCGGTAACTAGTAATTTTGCATTGTTTTTTTTCCATCAAAACTGATTTTAAAGTGCTGCAATTCTCAATGAATTGAAAAAGAGTAAAAGGCTTTTCAGCGTCGCTTACTAGTTACCCTAAGATCGACCTGAGGCCATTTTTTGCCTGTCACATGTCCAAAATTTTCTTGGCGATGAGGGGAATACCGCCCCCTTCAAACCCACCAAACAGAAGCGGGCACATCCCCCTTCTGGCAACCCCCTGATGTAACATTTGGATGGAGGGCGGCGCCGAAAAAGTGGTCATTTTTTTAACAACATTTCTTAAACTAAAAACAGTGTTTGGGGCCTAGATAGGGCATTTGTTCACTGTTTGAGGCCTGAAAAATGGGGGGGGGACAAAAATCCGTCAAAACACGCTTATATGTGGGAAAAGGTTAACAAAAAATGATGAAAAACCTAGGAATTACCCGAAAACTAGTTTTTCCATGTTGACACGTGCCTTTACGCCTAATTTTGGTGATTTTTTTTTGTTTTTTGACATTTTTTCTTTTTAATTAATTTTTTAGCCCATGAGCATATTGCGAAAAATGGCCGTTTTCATTGAAAAGACCCCTGTAACAAGTTCAAACTGCTATGAAACTATGAAAAATGCTTTGATACTTAGCACAAATGTTCACGCTTATATGAGGGAAAAGGTTAAAAAGGTTTTTTTTTAAAGTTTTATTCTTTGTTAACTTATAACTTTAGCGTAACATATTTAAAAACGGTAAAGTTATAACATGGGAGAATGTGACACTCTATATTTATCTATATCAATTAACACTCATCTATGTTATACGAGCTTGATAATATTAATGCTTTATTAATGTTATCGTTTTCCACCAAGAGAACCCTTTTACATACAAATGCTTTAGATTTTATTTGCTTAACTGATCTTATCACAGGATTAATCGACCAAATGGTCTTTTGTTGGGATGTTAAGTATACGGGGCATAAAATGTCATCAAAGTTTATTACAACCGCTAAAATGATATGAAATAATTTGAAACGCTCAACGGATCCTTTTTCTTTTCTTTTTTTTTTTGAGAAATTGTCTGAGATATATAAATGACATTTGTTTGTTTTATTGTTGTTTTTTCGTAAGATGAATTTTTTTTCATCGAGCGATCTTCAATCATGAGAACACTGGTTTTTTAAGTTCACGAGAAGAAATAAAAACAAACACACACATTATAATAATTTCTTTTTTATGTATCTTATACATATATAACATAACACATCTGTAACAATACTAGACAGGAGCTAGATGAACTCGATACTTATGGCAGGTGGTCATACGGATTTACAATACATTGTATATCGAAAAGGATCCCGGATCCGGCTTTTCCGAAAATCATGTGTTAACACTTCTTTTTTTTAACCTGTGACACTGTTTCGCGGGAGAAGTTATTCAAGTCAAGACGCCGCTTGCTTCAAATTGTAACAAATTGTTTTCGCTTTTGTCCCATTTATATAAGTGCTTGCGTCTTACATGCTACTATCAGTAACAATTGTGTTGCGATTTTGAAGATTTCTTAATTTAATGATAGATTAATATATTTAAGATAATGAAAAAATATCACTAAAAAGTGCAAAAGAACTTCTTCAGCTTTATATAGGCATTAAGACAAATTCAGTTAAGTGAGAAGCAATGTGCAATTAAGGAAAAGCACACATGCAATTAAAATAATGATTCTGTTGAGTATACTGACATGTGAAGTGAAGCCATAGCGTAACTATATTAAACATGTATGCATTTTTATTAAAAAAAGCAATTAATGAGCAACCAGAGACATAGAAAACATATTTAAGTCTCTTGAGCAATGAAGCACTATCATGTATTCGCATTTGTAAATCTATTAAATATAAATAGCTGCGTGTAATGAAGCAGGAGTATAATATACACAGTTTGAAATATTCACATTTTAGTTAACAAACAACAATAAATGAGAATGCACTAAACGTACCTGGATTAGTAAAAAGCGGGTATAAACATGTCATCAAGATACATATACTCTTAGCGGATATTCCCTTCCATAGATGATTGGCATTACTTCTACGTATACACATTGCATTACAGTTATTGCTCGTAGGATACTTAATTATGCCCCTAAATGTCTTCAAGAGCAGATTTGCATGTGGAAGGAAGTGTATTTATCAGACCGTTATGAATGTGACCAAAATAGTTAGAGATGATGTTTAATGATAGGTAAATTGAATGAAGTGCGTTAAATCTATTTCTAATTAGTTTGTGACTCTAGATGTTTGTAAATTTCATCCCTGCTTTGCTCTAAACAGGTCAGATTATGTCAGAATTGTAAGCGAAAATAAAAGTAAGGTACCACATGGGGGAAGCTTTTTAAAAAGTAGTCTCTTCATGTAAAATTGTAAAATTATATTTTGGAAATTTTCACTGTAAATCATTTTTACATAGAACTATTACGGGTAATCCACTCAAAAGCATGAAGTGATATTCATTATCATTTTGGTTTACACAGAATTTATTTTAGTTCATTGCGTAGGAAGCTATAAGCTTATAGACACACTTTCGAATCCGTTCCTGGAACCAATTAGTACTGAGCAATTAGTGTAAAGGTTCTTGATCAAGGAAACAACGACTTGCCCCTGATGGGGGCATTTTAAGCACTGCATGTTCAGTTGTAATGTTACGCTTAAATTTGAATTGTCACCAATTAAAATAACAAACAGTTGCCAGCTAAGTAAAGTCATATTTTATTTACCTGTCAATTATGAATACATTTAAGCATTAATATTCGATCGCACGTCGGATGTCCGTGTAGTTTACGAGAATAAATTGATCGACATCTCATCGGCAAAAGTACAGTTGGTAAAGTGATTGCCTGATATAAAAGAGGTCTGTAGTTCTGTCCCTACTGTTGTCATTAAATTAAGACTAACTCTTTCTTTATTTTTGCAGAATATTTAAATGAAAATGTCCGAGTGCTTGTAAAATTGCCTACGTTGATGTGAAGCAACTTAGGAACATTGTTTTGTCTCGATTTGCATTGTGTTTTACGGCATTGAAATTATATTAAATTTCATTTATTCAAATCCGAATGAATTTTGAATATTAATTCTTAAACAGTGTTATCGAAAAAGAGTAAAGATTTTACCAAAATAATTGCTAAACATCTCTAAACAAACGAACAACAAACATAAAAACAATCATAGCTTCAATGTTGAAAATAAAAGAATGAATAAATATGGACCTACGCAGTCTCGATCTTACAACACGTAGGACATTTAGAAATCACAAACCAGCAGTTTACCATATTGCGCTATAACGCACAAATTAAATTAAAGTACATCTTACTGCGTACCTCTCAGGAACTTACCGATTCATATCTTGTGTGCATTGACCGTACAATCAATATGCATTTGACAAGATAATAAATCACATAATACATGTAATAAACTCTAGTTGGTAAAATGGGATAAAATGAAAATTGAAGTGCACGATAAATACTAGGTTGCTAAGTTAAATATGTAATCAAATATATCTGACCTTTTAATGGACGGAAAAAAGATGACAAAAGCGACAGTAACACGTAATTATTAGATCAGATACGTATAAATAGAAAAAAAACATACTTACGTGTTATACATATTATACACATGGAATTAATCAATTAATTAATTAATTAATTAACTGTCTCACTTAAGTGCCACATATAACAAAAATATAAAAAACGTGAAGCAGTTAATTGTTTCCCTAAGTGATTGATACTATCCCGGATCCTACTGATCATGGATCACAGATTCTGATATTGTCCTCAACTAACACATGATAATAGAAATAACGTGGATGATATTATTAAAGAACTGACATGTGTATGGTGTCTGTTTTGTCACAAGTTAGTTGGCAGTCATTTCAATCATTAAGGTTCTTGAATACTCACGAGGTTGTGTTAAAAAAATTATAAAATTATTTACGTAAAACTTTAATTAAGTTATTAACAAAAATTAATATTAACAAAAATACTATTAAGTACATGTATGTTTAAATAAGAAACTGGTATCAAATATAAATTGAAATGGACAACTGAACAAATTATAACAAACGTATATATATTACCTTTTCGTTTGTATTTCATTAAGTATTGATCAAATTAATAAAAACAAACTATATCACAAATAAACTAAAAAAGAATTTTCTTTCCGAATTTTTGTCAAAAGACAAATGTAAAGATACCTTTAGCCTTGACTAAAACTTCAAGAAAAGGTTCGGCGAAAAAAAAAAACACGTTGTTTTTGTGAATAAAATAAATTGATTTGTATTGTATTAAAGCGTCTAAATCAATCCAAAAAAATCAGTCGACTTGCACATCATGATCTTACTTATTGGAGGCACTTTAACGTTTCTGTAACGATGACTTATCTTAGGAATACTTTTCGCTAAACAAACCCTTTCAGTTGGCTCACAATGAAAATACACAATGGAAGTACTTGAATTAACAGGACAGATGCTAAAAAAGATTTACCCACCATATATAAACATATCCATTGACTTAAACGAGAGATAGTGATTTTGGCTGGTTTTGTTAAAGTTAATTGCAGAAGTTTAATATATAAGGACTAGCTTTAATATTGTTTATTGAAAAAACAAATTAAGGTAAAAAATAAGAATCAAAACAATTTAGTCAACAAATATATCAAAACAAAATAAATTACCTTGTGTTCAAGTTACATCATCTCCTTATCCATTTAAATGTAAGGAATTCTAAAAATGAAAAAATTAATCTTCAAATGATGAAATTTATTATATAACTAACTACAGGTCGTGCTCGAAACCATCCAGTTTCAACGTTTCAATGACTTGATAAAAGTGCACGTGCTCATTAAATTAAGTCATGCGTTTCTGATGTCAAGAGAGTGTGAATGAATAAATAGAATCTTGTCAATACTCGTTTTAACATGTTTTTTTTATTAATATTTAACATTTGAAATTTTGATGATTATAAACTTCCGCAATTGGGCTTAAATGAGTTATATAACATAAATTTCGCTAAATTTGATACAGATATCTTATGTTGGGCATTCCATATAGGGATTATTTTTTCTATTTTACAGTCCTTTGAACTTAACGCCTCAATGAAGGTTACCCGTGTGAAAATAACCTGTTGAGGACAGAAGAAGCACGAAGTCACATATTTACACGTTTCCTAAATAATAGCTTCACATGGTACTAGTTTTTGAGTTATATAAAAGTTACTGAAAAATAATTCTGTTTTAAAGAAAGTCTATATATGTCTTAAAATGCGATGGTACATCACAAATGTAACATATGCAGCAACTTCATAAGTGTCTGAACTTGGTGATTTTGAATAGTTAAGTCTAACAGGATCAGCGATGTTGCCAAAAGCTGAAAACAAATAAATTTATTCAGTTAAAAAATAGTTTTTGTTATGCCTATTGCAATTCCACTATTGAAATAATATTATGATACCGGACAGGACATCCAAATTGTTAATGCACTTGACATCTGAGATTATAACTTTTAAAGCGCTCAGTAAAGTACTAAGTTAAGAAGCAAATAACAAATTATAGATCAGTGTTGATGATAGTGCAGGTTTTGCTTCTTCTCGGTAAAGATTTATCACAAGATAATTCACAATAATGACCAATGCCCAATTTGTTGTTTACTCACATTTTTAAAGATTTGAAAAATGTTACAATATAGAAAGATTCAAGGTTGAACATCAATTTCAATATTTTTATTACAAAATCTTTAAAGTATTAAAAAAGATCGAACCAAATGTAACGCATAAAAACTGCAACATGACTTTAATTTGTTATCATCATTAAGGTGCCTTGTTTCTTCATGTATGTCGTGTTAACACTCATTTGTTGTTGTTTTTTCATTTTTTATTGTCCTGTTTATATATTTTATCATTTGTGTTTTCTTTCATCATAAGTATTTCCACCCGTTCCTAATTGGATCCATCTCTCTTACCTTAGCAACCCCTTCCCTTGTTCGCTATAAACGCTCTCTGATTAAAATTGCATCTTTGGTGGTTCTTACATGATAAAATATAGTTGTTCTTATTTGTTTGTTTATTGCAGCTAAATTTATCTAACTTGCAATAACCGCAAATTTTAATCCTTCGCGGTTATAAGAAAGGTTTTGGTTATAGTCCTACAAGCCCTTTTAGCTAGTCCTGTGTGTCTGGATGTAGTATTAACTGATCAATGTACGAAATTTAAATTTTATGTTTTTAGGATTTCGGACCTCAATGGAGTTTCTTTGACCATTTTGTCTTTAATTCTGCTTTTATTATTTTGTAATGAAAATTGCTAAAATCATTTTCAAACTTTCACAGCTTTAGACTGATTCATCATTAAATTTTCTAGACAAATCCCTTTCCGACCATTTTTCCGCTCATATATTAATTATTCCATTTAATTTATAATGTTTGATGAGAATGCACTTGAAGTAAAACTATGTTTTAAACAGCAAATATTTTGTGGCGCACATGCAACATTAATAGATACCTTTTACATTTTAACATTAGTATGCTAAAAATGGTTTTGTAGGTCAAGCGTGTATTCATCGTTAAAGGAACTTTTAGCGTGAATGCAAAAATTTATCACCCACCCGTATCTATTAATAATTGATGCAACAATAGATCATATCGCCCTGCCAGGCTCCAGCAAATCTTTACGACATGAAGCACTTTCGTTCAAGTTCTGCTTTTCAGTATATGAATATCGTAAAATTAATGTTCGATTTTAAACAAACTGAAAGCAATAGCATATCTTAACGATCTTAATTTCTTTTTTATGTCATAAAAAATAATTATTTGAATAAAAACATAAAACTGACTATGTTAATATAAATTATAATTTATATTAACATAGTCAGTTTTATGTTTTTATTCAACCACAAAGTCATTTAGTTCACTAAGAATATTAACATTATACGACGAAAGTAAACATTTCATGTTTTTAATTATATAAAACAATAACATGATGCAAGTGTTTACAGTTATACAGCAAATATTTCAACACAACAAAACCACTGTACATTTTGTATTGTAAATTTAATTTTCTGAGTTGCAATGTTAAATTTTCAGCATGTCCTGAAAGTCCAGCAACACCAATAAAACGAGTTTAAACATAGCATAAGTGACATTATTTAAGTTATGATAACTTAATATAGACAATAAAGAAACATAAAACGATCTGTTTGTTTTAAATACTTTGTACAAATTGAACTATAGTGTAAGTTTGTAGTTTTAGTTTAATGAGGTTCCATTTGCCCGCAATGGAACAAAAGCAGCATTCGCTGCCTAGTACGTATGCCGGGCATGCTACCAGTCATGCTCTTAAAGGGTTATTATTGAAGCACAAAGTGCTGATTATTTACCTCCATTCCATTTCCACAAAGTATTAGTCAAAATATGTATTTGAGCCAAAATAGGTCACTGTACGGCGGTCAATGCAAACCTAAGTGTACAGTTACTTGAGGCAATATGAAAAAGGAGGTAGCCCTTAAATGGGCTGTTGGTGCTAAGCAAAGGTCCTGCTTGTCAAGCCGTCATTCGTAATGGGGGGGGGGGGCTCACGCACCCTAGTTCACCATCTACGTCAACTTTGTCTACTTTGTAGGGTCACTCCCCTCGGCATTAGTCAGAAAACCGCCACGTATGGGACGTATTTGAAGTTCTGTTCTTCGCCATCCAAAGTTTTACAATCTTCAGCCGATGCCCTGATCTTTCTAAGCGACGTGCACGCTCCGAGGTGAACTGAGAAGAAGTGACCTATGGTGTATGAATGTGTGTATTCTAGGCTAAATGAGAATCCATCAGTCCTTTCAGACACTGAATGTATAGATCCCGGACATGTCACAATTAATGTCCTAAATAATATTATGTTCTAAAAGGTGACTTATAATCACTGATTGATACTTAATATGTATGCAAGTCGATTTTTGTAATAATACTATTTTGATGCACGGGAGGCCAATGAGACCATTATGTGTATAGTAGAAGAAATGAGGTGTTATTGCCAAAATGAATGTTCATTTCTTCCGGATGACCTAACACATGTTTCCATATGCATGACTTATATGCAGGATCATTTTAACCAGCTTTTCACAGACGAATTTGGCTAAATAGAAAGTAGTTCCTTTTCTTTTTCAATTTTGTATGATACTTATAATGAGAGTGAACCGGTGAAATATAAAATAAATTAAAGAACACAGTTATGTCAATCATTTCGGATACAGTGCAATAATTGGCGCCGATTGGATTCTTAGTTTGCACTTATTTAATGTCAATCTTATTAACGTGTAAAAATAAATGTTTCTTATTTATTGACACGACAGGGCACTTCTTCTTAGATATGCAATACTCGCAGTGTCTAGTAGCGGAAATACGTCACGCAACATACACATCGAGCGGAAAGTAACACCGATATCGTCTTACGTAAGAATTTTGTGTATAAAGAAATTTTGCCACATTTGTTAGTTTTGAGTTTCTGAAGCTTCTACGCTGTCAGAAATATTCCATCACTGCAACTAAAATGTGTCGTGTGCAGGAGATGTAAATCTCTATTTGTAGAATGTATTCAACACTCTGCTTTTCTCTCATCTGCTGAATTGCTGTTGTATCTGACACTAAATGATTCAGCTTCCGCGAACATTTAACTTAAAAGTATAAGAGTGTAATCCGTCAAAGATTAACCACTTATGACAATAGTTTATACCTGTTCACTGAAATAATTGTCTGTATATCGAAATAGAAGATGTTGCGCAAAAATACACAGCGCACAAATCTTGATATAATATCATAAACGAACGCAAGCGGAAAGATTGCAGCAGTAGAAGTGTATGCACTTGCACTTATATCCAAGTCAATGCACAATTCATGAAAAAAGTCATGAATAAGTTTTAAAAATTAATTTACAGTGTAAAGTATATAAAGGAGATGTAACCAAACATGAGCATAGACAAACTATTAATTGGGACTTTAAAGATTATGTGGAACTCAAATTATCAAAAGAGAAAACCTTTAAATTCCGTCATTATCTTTAAATGTTGAGTTCTGCTTAAACCAATATCGGTAGGGGGAGAGGGCATGGACGGTAGCTTGTGATAAGAACTTTATTGCACAAACAGACTGAATTAAACCGAGCCTGCGACTGTTACAACTTTGCCCTCTCGGGACTTTATTTAGGGAGTATGTGCTTCTCTTTTGTAGGCAATGCTTTATCAAATAAATTTTGTAACTGCTGTTCTGGACAAATATTAAGGTTTCCATTGACGGTTCGAATGTCACATCTGCATTATTTGTGCCGAACAGCGACTGTCAAAAGTTTCATTTTGTATTCACTTAGATATTTTATTTTTGATGTTTTGGTCTTTGACTATATTTGAGCACGATTGACTTGTGGTATTTGATTTTTTACAATTTTTATAAATCCATTATACATTTGTAATAAATGTATAATCATCCCGAGGATATACAGTATTTCCTGCTTTTTAATGTTGTCATTTGTCTGTAATAAGCCGACTTCATAATTGCTGATCCCCTTTCTAAATTCTTTCATTAGTACTGCTAATTGTTTCCTCGTTTGAGACATTCCCATTATGTTACTCACCGACCGTACGGCATTGGTTTACTTGAAAGTACCATACTGAATATTTCATGATAACAGGAACATTAACAAATCTGTACATGCTTCTGAAATGCTTCTTTAATCTTAATTTAACTATTTCATATCTAAATGTTGAATTCTGCTTAAGCAGATGATGAAGGGTGTGAACGGCAGTTTGTACGTTCCACTGCCTTCCATAAACAAGCTAGATTTTAACGGAACCTTCAACATTTTCAATTTTGCCAGGTTGGGCGACATTTAGGATGTCCTCATTTGACTAAATTGCCTTAATTATTTCTCGCAAAAAGCTTAATGCCACTTTTTTAATATTAACTAACGGTCGCTTTATTCCCTGCGGTCTGGAGACCGTAGGGTATTGGTACGCGTTTAACTTTTGAGGCATGGAGGAGCACGTGACCTGTTTTCGGTACATGGAGGAGCATGTGATCTGTAAACCGTACATGATTGGTTAATTGACCTTTTCGAAAACTTGGCTAAATACCGTTTGCCGGTACGTTACGGATAATCCTCTAGGGAATAAGTCAGAATTACACCTAATTAAGAACAAAAAACTATTACGTGATATTTTTAATTTTCTATAATTATTAAGATAGGAAAGATATATAACAACCCAAGTTTTTAGATTAAAAACTATTTACTATGGTTTTGTTTAATATTGAATAAGAAGAAAAGAAAGTACGTGATTTATTCATTTCAAATTGTAACCTTTTTGTATTATACATTATATTTCATATGCTAGATCATTTATGTTAAATATTACTGGAGCAATGTTAACAGGTGGCTTTAAATGGAATATGAACAATGATTAAACTAAAATATATTATTGTCCGTCGTGAGAATACTGGTTTTCAAGTTCACGAGATGAAATAAAATAAAAAAACACACACGCACTCACACAATATTGTACTGTACTGTACATATTTATCATTATAATTATTCCTTTTTATATAACTTAACATATTATATAACATAACATACCTATAACAATACTAGACAGGAGCAAGATGAAATCAATAATATATCAATGATACTTTTGGCATGTGGTCAATTCACGGATTAATAATACATGGTATATCAAAAAGGATCCCGGATCGCATTTTCCGAAACGCATGTGTTAACACTTCTTTTTTTAAACCTGTGACACTGTTTCGCGGGAGAAGTTATTCAAGTCAAAGCGCCGCTTGATGTCAAATAATAACTAACTGTGTTCGCTTTTGTCCCATTTATATAAGTGCTTGCGTCTTACATGCTACTATCAGTAACAATTGTGTTGCGATTTTGAAGATTTCTTAATTTAATGAAAAATTAATATATATAAAATAATGAAAAAATATCACTAAAAAGTGCAAAAGAACTTCTTCAGCTTTATATAGTCATAAAGACAAATTCAGGTAAGTGAGAAGCAATGTGCAATTAAGGAAAAGCACACATGCAATTAAAATAATGATTATGTTGAGTATACAGACATGTGAAGTGAGGCAATAGCGTAACTATATTAAACATGTATGCATATTCCCTTCCATAGATGATTGGCATTACTTCTACGTATACACATTGCATTACAGTTATTGCTCGTAGGATACTTAATTATGCCCCTAAATGTCTTCAAGAGCAGATTTTCATGTGGAAGGAAGTGTATTTATCAGACCGTTATGAATGTGACCAAAATAGTTAGAGATGATGTTTAATGATAGGTAAATTGAATGAAGTGCGTTAAATCTATTTCTAATTAGTTTGTGACTCTAGATGTTTGTAAATTTCATCCCTGCTTTGCTCTAAACAGGTCAGATTATGTCAGAATTGTAAGCGAAAATAAAAGTAAGGTACCACATGGGGGAAGCTTTTTAAAAAGTAATCTCTCCATGCAAAGTGTAAAATTATATTTTGGAAATTTTCACTGTAAATCATTTTTACATAGAACTATTACGGGTAATCCACTCAAAAGCATAAAGTGAAATTCTTTATCATTTTGGTTTACACAGAATTTATTTTAGTTCAATTGCGTAGGAAGCTATAAGCTTATAGACACACTTTCGAATCCGTTCCTGGAACCAATTAGTACTGAGCAATTAGTGTAAAGGTTCTTGATCAAGGAAACAACGACTTGCCCCTGACGGGGGCATTTTAAGCACTGCATGTTCAGTTGTAATGTTACGCTTAAATTTGAATTGTCACCAATTAAAATAACAAACAGTTGCCAGCTAAGTAAAGTCATATTTTATTTACCTGTCAATTATGAATACATTTAAGCATTAATATTCGATCGCACGTCGGATGTCTGTGTAGTTTACGAGAATAAATTGATCGACATCTCATCGGCAAAAGTACAGTTGGTAAAGTGATTGCCTGATATAAAAGAGGTCTGTAGTTCTGTCCCTACTGTTGTCATTAAATTAGGACTAACTCTTTCTTTATTTTTGCAGAATATTTAAATGAAAATGTCCGAGTGTTTGTAAAATTGCCTACGTGGATGTGAAGCAACTTAGGAACATTGTTTTGTCTCGATTTGTATTGTGTTTTACGGCATTGAAATTATATAAAATTTCATTTATTCAAATCCGAAAGAATTTTGAATATTAATTCTTAAACAGTGTTGTCGAAAAAGAGTAAAGATTTTACCAAAATAATTGCTAAACATCTCTAAACAAAACGAACAACAAATATAAAAACAATCATAGCTTCAATGTTGAAAATAAAAGAATGAATAAATATGGACCTACGCAGTCTCGATCTTCCCAAACCCCGTAGGAAAATTTAAAAATAAAAAACCAGCATTTTAAACCATATTGCTCTATAACGCAAAATTTAAAATTAAAGTACTTTCCTTACTGCGAAACCTCTCAGCGAACTTCCCCGATTCTTGTGGGGTTTTGACCGTTAAAACCCAAAAATGCATTTGAAAAGATAAAAAAATCCAAATACATGTAAAAACTTGTTGGAAAAGGGGAAAAAAAAATAAAAATTTTAAAAGTGCACGTTTAAATACTGGGTTTTTCCAAAATTTTAAAAGAATAAAAATATATTTTGACATTTTTAAGGGACGGAAAAAAAGATGACAAAAGCGAAAAAGTAACAGGGTAATTATTAGATCAGATCGTTAAAAATTTAAAAAAAAAACCCATACTTACGTGTTTTACATATTAAACAGGGAATTAATAAATTTAATTTAAATTTAAATTTAAATTTAAATTTAAATTAACTTTTCTCACTTTAAGTGCCACATATAACAAAAATATAAAAAACGTGAAGCAGTTAATTGTTTCCCTAAGTGATTGATACTATCCCGGATCCTACTGATCATGGATCACAGATTCTGATATTGTCCTCAACTAACACATGATAATAGAAATAACGTGGATGATATAATTAAAGAACTGACATGTGTATTGTGTCTGTTTTGTCACATGTTAGTTGGCAGTCATTTCAATCATTAAGGTTCTTGAATACTCATGAGGTTGTGTTAAAAAAATTTATAAAAATATTTACGTAAAACTTTAATTAAGTTATTAACAAAAATTAATATTAACAAAAATACTATTAAGTACATGTACGTTTAAATAAGAAACTGGTATCAAATATAAATTGAAATGGACAACTGAACAAATTATAAACAAACGAATATATATTACCTAAACTTTTGTATTTTATTAAGTATTGATCAAATTAATAAAAACAAACTATATCACAAACAAACTAAAAAGATTTTTTGTTTTGGCGAATTTTTGTCAAAAGACAAATGTAAAGATACCTTAAGCCTTGACTAAAACTTCAAGAAAAGGTTCGGCGAAAAAAAAAACACGTTTTTTTTGTGAATAAAACAATTGATTTGTATTGTATTAAAACGTCTAAATCAATCAAAAAAATCAGTCGACTTGCACATCATGATCTTACTTATTGGAGGCACTTTAACGTTTCTGTAACGATGACTTATCTTAGGAATACTTTTCTTTAAACAAACCCTTTCAGTTGGCTCACAATGAAAATATACAATGGAAGTAATTGAAATTGCAGGACAGATGCTAAAGAAATTTACCCACCATATATAAACATATCCATTGACTTAAACGAGAGATAGTGATTTTGGCTGGTTTTGTTAAAGTTAACTGCAGAAGTTTAATATATAAGGACTAGCTTTAATATTGTTTATTGAAAAAACAAATTAAGGTAAAAAATAAGAATCAAAACAATTTAGTCAAAAAATATATCAAAACAAAATAAATTACCTTGTGTTCAAGTTACATAATCTCCTTATCCATTTAAATGTAAGGAATTCTAAAAATGAAAAAGAAATAATAATCTTCAAATGATGAAATTGATTATATAACTAACTACTGGTCGTGCTCGAAATCATCGAGTTTCAACGTTTCAATGACTTGATAAAAGTGCACGTGCTCATAAAATTAAGTCATGCGTTTCTGATGTCAAGAGAGTGTGAATGAATAAATAGAATCTTGTCAATACTCGTTTTAACATGTTTTTTTTTATTAATATTTAACATTTGAAATGTTGATGATTATAAACTTCCGCAATTGGGCTTAAATGAGTTATATAACATAAATTTCACTAAATTTGATACAGATATCTTATGTTGGGCATTCCATATAGGGATTATTTTTTCTATTTTAAAGTCCTTTGAACTTAACGCCTCAATGAAGGTTACCCGTGTGAAAATAACCTGTTGAGGACAGAAGAAGCACGAAGTCACATATTTACACGTTTCCTGAATAATAGCTTCACATGGTACTAGTTTTTGAGTTATATAAAATTACTGAAAAATAATTCTGTTTTAAAAGAAAGTCTATATATTCTTAAAATGCGATGGTACATCACAAATGTAACATATGCAGCAACTTCATAAGTGTCTGAACTTGGTGATTTTGAATAGTTAAGTCTAACAGGATCAGCAATGTTGCCAAAAGCTGAAAAACAAATAAATTTATTCAGGCAAAAAATAGTTTTTAGTTATGCTTATTGCATTTCCACTTTGAAATATATTATGATACCTAACAGAACATCCAAATTGTTTTTACATTTGACAACTGCCATTATAACTCTTACAGCGCTAAGTAATAGTTTCTTAGTAAGAAGGCAATTATAACAGAAGGAGATCAATGTTGATGATAGTGCAGGGTTTGCTTCTCCTCGGTAAAGATTTATTACAAGATAATTTATAATAATGACCAATTTATTGTTATCTCACATTTTCAAAGATTTGAAAAAGTTAGAATCTAGAAAGATTCAAGGTTGACATCAATTTCAATTTGTTCGATTACAAAATCTTTAAAGAATTGAAAAAAGATCGAACCGAATATTACGCATTAAGTGATTGTAATAGTTGTTTCTCTCCAAATGTAATAAAATGGCACTCATGACTTTAATTTGTTATCATCATTAGGGTGCCTTTTTATGTGACAATAGGTTGTGTCTATCCGTGTTCCTTCATGTATGTCATGTTAACACTTAATTGTTAGGTATTTTTGCGTTTTTGATTGTCTTGTTTATATATTTTTACATATGTGTTTTCTTTCACGATAAGTATTTCCACCCGTTCATAATTGAATTCATCTCTCTTACTTTAGCAACCCCTTCCCTTGTTCGCTATAAGCGCCCTCTGGTTAAAATTGAATCTTTGGTGGTTCTTACATGATAAAATATAGTTGTTCTTATTGTTTGTTTATTGCAGCTAGATTTATTTAACTTGCATCCGCCAATTTTAATCCTTCGTGGTTATAAGAAAGGGTTTGGTTGTAGTCCTACAAGCCCTTTTAGCTAGTCATGTGTGTCTGGATGCTGAATTAACTGATCAATGTACGATATTCAAATTTTATGTTTTTAGGATTTCGGACCTCAGTGGAGTTTCTTTGACCATTTTATATTTAATAATCTACTTTGATTATTTTGTAATGAAAATTGCTAAAATCATATTCAAACTTTCACAGCGGTAGACTGATTCATCATTAAACTGTCTAGACAAATCCCTTTCCGACCATTTTTCGCTCATATATTAATTATTCCATTTAATTTATAATGTTTGATGAGAATGTACTTGACTCATAGAAGTAAAACTATGTTTTAAACAGCAAATATTTTGTGGCGCACATGCAACATTAATAGATACCTTTTACGTTATAACATTATTATTCTAAATATGGTTTTGTAGGCCAAGCGTGTATTCATCGTTAAAGGAACTTTAAGCGTAAATGCATAAATTTATCGCCCCAATCTATAAATAATTAACGCAACAATAGATCATATCGCCCTGTCAGGCGCCAGCACATCTTAACGACATAAAGCACTTTCGTTCAAGTTCTGCTTTTCAGTATATGAATATCGTAAAATTAATGTTCGATTTTAAACAAACTGAAAGCAATAGCATATCTTAACGATCTTAACTTCTTTTTTTATGTCATAACAAATAATTATTATTAACATAGTCTGTTTTATGTTTTTATTCAACCACAAAGTCATTTAGTTCACTACGAATATTAACATATACGACGAAAGTAAACATTTCATTTTTTTAATTTATATATGACAATATAATAACATGATGCATGTGTTAACAGTTATACAGAAGATATTTCAACACAACAAAACCACTGTACATTTTGTATTGTAAATTAAATTTAAATGAGTTAATATCTGAGTAGCAATGTTAAATTTTCAGCAGGTTCTGAATGTCCTGCAACACCCAGAGAACGAGTTTAACCATTGCATAAGGTTATGGTAACTTAATATAAATAATATAGAAAATTAAACGACCTGTTTGTTTTAAATACTTTGTAAAAATTGAACTATGATGTATGTTTGTAGTTTTAGTTTAATGAGTTTCAATCCGCCCGCAAGGGCAAACAAGCAGCATTCGCTGTCGATTACAGATCCCGGACATGCCATCAAGCATGCCCTTAAAGGGTTATTTTTGAATCACAATTTGGTGATTATTTACATCCATTCCATTTCCACGAAGTATTAGTCAAAAATAAGTATTTGAGCCAAAATAGGTCACTGTACGGCGGTCAATGCAAACCTAAGTGTACAGTTACCTGAGGCAATATGAAAAAGGAGGTAGCCCTTAAATGGGCTTTTGGTGCTAAGCAAAGGGCCTGCCTGTCAAGCCGTCATTCGTAATGGGGTGGGGGCTCACGCACCCTAGTTCACCATCTACGTCTACTTTGTCTACTTTGTAGGGTCACTACCCTCGGCATTAGTCAGGACACCGCCATCTGGGACGTAATTTTAGTTCTGCTCTTTGCCACCCCAAGTGTTACAACCTTCAGGCGATGCCCTGATCTTTCTAAGCGACGTGCTCGCTCCGAGGTGAATTGAGAAAAAGTGTCCTTTGATGTATGTATATGTGTATTCTTGGCTAAATTAGAGTCCACAAGTCCATTCTTGCACTGAATATATGGATCCCGGACATAACACCTTTCATGTCCTTAAATAAAGTTATCTTCCAAAAGGTGACTGATAATCACTGATTGATACTCAATATGTATGCAAGTCGATTTTGGAATGATACTATTTCGATGCACGGGAGGCAAATGAGACCATTAAGTGTATCGTAGAAAAAATAAGGTGTTATTGCCAAAATGGATATTCATATCTTCCGGATGACGTTACACATGTTTCGTATGAATGACTTATATGCAGGATCATTTTAACCAGCTTTTCACTGACGAATTTGGCCAAATAAAAAGTGGTTCCTTTCCTTTTCAATTTAGTATGATACTTAAAATGAGAGTGAACCGGTAAAAAATAAAATACATTATAGAACACAGTTAGGTCAATCATTTGGGATACAGTGCAATAATTGGCACCGATTGAAGTTCTCAGTTTGCACTTATTAATTGTCAATCTTTTTAACGTGTGAAAATAAATGTTTCTTGTTTAAACGGGGGGGGGCTGTTATTGACACGACAGGACATTTCTTATAACATATGCAATACACGCAGTGTCTAGTAGCGGAACTATGTCACGCAACATACACATCGAACGAAAATTGAAACCGATATCGTCTGATATGTAAGATTTTTGAGTATAAGGAAATTTTGCCACAGTTTTTAGTTTCGGGTTTCTGAAACTTCTACGCTGTCAAAAATATTCCACCACTGCAGCCAAAATGTGTCGTGTGCAGGAGATATAAAATTTTAATCTCCTTTTGTAGAATGTCAATACTACCGACCTTTCAACACGCTTCTCTCTCATCTGCTGAAACGCTTTTGTGTCTGATACTAAATGACTCAGATTCCGCGATTATTTAACTTAAAAGTATAAGTTAAGATTGTAATCCGTCAAAGATTAACCACTGATAACTATATTTTATACCTGTGCACTAAATAATTGTCTGTGTATCGAAAAAGAAGATGGTGCACAAAAAGTACACAACGCGCAAATCTTTGAATAATTTTATACACGAACGCAAGCGGAAAGATTGCAACAATAGAATTGTGTGCATTTGCTCTGGCATCCAAGTCAATGCACAATTTTATGAATAAAGTCATGAATAAGTTTTAAAAATTAATTTACAGTATCGTCCATGAACTGGCTCAATCAAACCAAGCCTGCAACATTTTCAATTTTGCGGTGTTGGGCATTTTTAAGGCATTCTTATTTTTTCTATTTCATGATAACAGGGACATTAACATGCTTCTGAAATGCCTCTTAAATCTTAATTTAACTATTTCATATCTAAATGTTGAATTCTGCTTAAGCAGATGATAGAGGGTGTGAACGGCAATTTGTACATCCCACTGCCTTCCATAAACAAGCTGGATTTAACCGAACCTGCAACATTTTTCAATTTTGCCAGGTGAGGCGACATTTAGGATGTCCTCTTTTTTGACTAAATTGCCTTCATTTATTTCTCTCCAAAAGCTTTATGCCACTTTTGTAACATTTACTTACGGTCGTTTTATTTAATATTGAATAAGAAGAAAAGAAAGTACGTGATTTATTCATTTCAAATTGTAATTTTTTTGTAATGTACATTATATTTCATATGCTAGGTCATTTATGTTAAATATAACTGAAGCAATGTTAACAGGTGGCTTTAAACGGAATACGAAAAATGATTAAACTAAAATATATTATTGTCAGTGGTTTTCCAGTTCACGAGATGAAATAAAAACACGCACGCACACACACACACGCACCCACACACACACGCACACGCACACACACACACACACACACACACACACACACACACACACACACACTGTATTGTACAAATTTATCATTATAATAATTTCCTTTTTATATAACTTCTACATTATTATATAACATAACACATATATAGCAAAACTAGACAGGAGCTAGATGAAATTTATCAATGATACTTATGGCAGGTGGTCAATTCACGGATTAAT